CGGCCGTTCCCCTTTACACTTATTCTACTACTTCTTTACTTTTTTGGATTATGTTATACAAATCATATCAGGACTAGTAAATACTTTCCATCACCCCAATAATTAATATGATACAGTTATCTACATCTTATATGATAATTATATTAATCTATATAATAAAGGTTTTGTAAGATCATATTAGTGGGATAGACAACTTTTTCGAGGTTATATTTACTAAATAAAATTATTTTAGATTTTAGAGCTACTGAGCAGTTTAGCAGCATACTTAAACCGTCGACAACTGCTAAGTTCATTTCAGTTCATCAGTTCATCCAGTAGCTACTCCAGCGCTATTGTGGAGAGTTTTGAGCTGTTTTTTACTGCTTACAGATGGCTACTTTTTCAACTATTCTACTATGAGAGATTGCTTTTACACTCCATAGTTTACAGAATTCCAGAGATTTGTCATTCAGATGAAGCTTGATATCGAAATGGTTATATAAATAGCACTACAGTATCATTGGCAAAAGGGGTTTTCTGGTATATCTAAACCAAAATATCCATCCACAATATAAAACAAGCACCACCTGTTCTTCACTTCGTTACCATGTTTGTGTTGTTTTTCCAGATCATAACGACTCTTTTCTGTCTGAGAGTCCGTTCGTCAAGCAGCGGTGCGTGCACTGCTATATTTCGGTCTGAAGAGTATAGAGATTCAGTATATATACAGGTTGTAATTCAAATTTCTAACATGAAATGTTAGTCATTTGAGGCGACAAATTATCTTAAGGTATCTTCTTTGTCTGTGTGACTCACCATTACCATCAGTTCTCCTTCACTTCATATTTGATGGTTCATTGCTTGACATATATGATATTTTTAACGTGATAGAGTCACCCTGCATGCTGATATGCTATATATATTATGTAAACATAGCTGCAGGACTAATAAATCGACTCGACTGGAGTAGGACCACGCTCTTACAGAATACTAGCGTAAAATAGCAGCTTGATGCTGCCTTTTGGTATGATGAGTGTAAAAATCCAGAGACGATTTTAAATTGTAGCGGAGCATTCTATCTAAGTCCTCAAGGGTGAATACACATCTGGATTTTTATTCATAATCGGTGATACATGTAGATGTCTATGGGTCATTGCACCCACTTACCATCAAGTGGTCTGTGTGCTCGTTTATCACCCTTTTTCTCTAAGAAATGTAGCCTTCCCAATGCTGAAACTTACTGAGATCGTGACGTTTCACAGATTGGCGGTTAACAGGTGAATGGCACCTTGACTATGATTGTTATCGATTTGGAGAAAAATAAGAATACAAATTCTATTTAATTAGATAGCTAGAAAAACGTTCGGGGCGGGATTACCCTATTGATTCACTATTTCTTCAGAGCTTTTTCTGGTAGTTTCTTTATTTCGTTACCACGTTTATTTCGTTACTTGTATAATAATATTGTGATTCTATTTAAATCTAGAAATGCCCGTTACTACGACCGTACCACTACCCTCTTTTATTTTTACTTTATTGAAATTCGATCGTTAACATTTGTGAGCTACTACATGTTTGAAAATATTTTATTTCATAATTACGTAAATTAATCATATATTGGTCATAAAATTCATATTGCACATTGCTTTATTTAAGTATAGCGTCAAATTATAGTCATTTACACTCCTTACTTCCCTATGGTTAGCGAAAAATAACGTTGTTGTATTACAAAGAGAAGCACTTTTATTCAATATAGATCATAAATAATACTTATTGAAAGTAACTGTTATGTTTAATTTAGCACTGGTTCATAAAATACCTCTGTCCTGGGAAGAACCAGCAAGAAACAGGGCGAGACCTTTTTCGAAAAAAAAAAAAGAACAGTTTACAAGATATTATATGTTACACCATTAACATCATCAAATAAATTGTACAACGTATGTACATAAAACTTATGATTTATGTGTTTCTGAGTGTAGTTATATTATTCAAAAGTTAAATCACGTGTATTACTTATATTATATCTTTATCATCTTAGCTGTTTGCCATCTTAGGTATTTATTCTTAGCCTAGGGTAATAAATATAAGTTGTACGGTCTGCATAAAGTAGCATAATCAGTTTTTCATTGAATTTTCGTTTTAATCGTCTTCGTCAATTACCAGTAAATTATTATTTAGAAAATATTTCGATGCCGTGCCCAACCAAGATACCACATTATAGTCATTACATGACAACAACTACAAACATTCCTATTACCAACGACACAACTGCAGCAATACCATAAAATTGAATTTAAGGCACTACTACTAAGGTCCTTATCAAACAAAATATACGTAAAATAGTATCTCCCAAAATGTTATGTAATCAATATATTTTAATAATAACAAATCAGTCAATGAGTGAAAATATTCGACATTAATTTCACATACGTACTTAGGACGATGACACAATGACATGTGTGTATCATTTCACAAAATTCAAAATTGTTATTCAGTAATGATCTGATGCAATATATGATTATTTTCAACTTGTAAGTCATATTTTATTGAAAAAGAAAATAAAAATTGATAAATAATATTTTATACGACAAATACAATGTATTTTATCAGAAATAGGTATTGTTTGATATTTTAAGCGTAAGTATTTAATTATTAGTACAAAGAAACAGAACTCGTCAGAAAATTAGTTAAAGATCATTTTCTATATATTACAGTTATAGACGAAAGCACGTTAGTAAAAACGCGATAAAAATATTTACGATAAAATCCATATCTAACATTGGCTCTGATACGGACTTCATGGGTAATGGTACAAGATCATTATCTAGGGAGAAAACGGAGGAATACTTTCGTATGGTTTGTATGTCTTCGTAGGAATACCGTTAATATATTATATCCTGAATCTAAAGACGTATCCATTTTTATTGTGAATTGAAAATAAAACATGATACAAGGAACAAAACAAAACAATTTCTTATTTCATGATATCACACTTACATTACATTGTTCTAAGACAATTACATCGAAAAGAAAACCTTATAAAGAGCTTAAAACTAATGCAATTTAGTTGAATCCTGGGAAAATTTAATAATAGTTTCAAACTATCAAGTAATGTTTTCATCGTCTTCCTTATTTATACTTTTAAAGACACGTTATTTTGTACCATTTTCCTTGTTTCTCAGTACTACAGCGATGCAACTTTTACTTTTTAGTCTTATCGATTTTCACACTGCATATATGTATTAATTTGAACGTGTAAAACAAAGCTGTATTTTTAATAAAATGTTTGATTATGGTGTCAGAGCTTCGCTGCAGCTACATTATTAGAACACGAATTGTGCAGTTCGATTCAGGAAGAATCACGCTCTAAGGATGCGCAACAGAACCAGCGTGTTGTGGCTCGTAAGGTAAGCGTAGAAAACTGGAAGCCTCTTACTGGTAACTGGGAGGTATTCTATCTTAGTGCATAGAGATGATAACGCATCTTAATTTTGATTCTTAAATCGAGGATAAATTTAGGTGTCTGTAAGCCCCAGTATCCATTTAACACCAGATCGACTGTGTGCTCGTATGTCATCAGTATTATTAAAAAATAAATAAGGAAAGATGATTTTAGAGAAAAATATAGATCCATAAATCTCTACATTGCAAACATTATCTTTATAAATGTGATAACTGTAATACAACTGTATTTTGTCAGATGTCGTACTATAAAAGAAAATGCAATACTAACGTCTTAACATATTGCCATTACTTTATATAATGAAGGAATATCTAGTGTTTAATAACATGTAATCGATGTAATCTCGATATGCCAAGCGTTAGTTGCTGTCGTAACAACCAATCACGAAGGAAGGTTTAAGTAGGGTACTCAAAAACAGACGTGGGGTACAAAGCAAGTGGGATAATGAATTTTCTCAAGCCGTCACCACACATTACAGCTTATATTATAACTTACTGACTGTAAATATGTTTAACCCGCAAAGAAAATATTGTAATAAGTAATAAATTATAACTAAGATGGAAATTTCAGTTATATCGAATATGTGTGTCAAACGAGCACACCAATCCATCCATGATGACGATCCATCAGGTGGGCAGTGCATGCTGTGACCCATAGACATCTACGTCCTTTCTCAGTTTACAATTAAATTCAAGTTGCGTAAACAGCCCTGAGACAGAATGTCTCGTTTTCATCAAAAAGCGTCTCCGATCCTTTATATTACCTAACGAAAAACAGCAACATTTAGCTGGTAACTTGCGCTAGTATTCTGTGATAGCGTGATCCTGCTAGAGCTGAAGAATTGCCCTACCACGTATAAAGTTTAATTTTAAGAACAAACTGTTAGCTTCCTTACATAATATTTGTAAATATTGTGTGCATTTTCTGTAAAATAAGGGTAAAATTTGACCCCTAGCTGGTAATTTTTTTTATTTCGATATATTAAAACTTAATAAAGTTTTCAAATGTTTTTAATTTACATTATACAAATCAAGATTGATATAAAATAAACTTTGATAAAATCAGCTTCAAAGTAATTCAACTGTGATCAATTAACGGATACCCGTTACCCAAATTAATTGTTAAAGTGAAATCGTTTTGGGGCTTCGAACTGTGTTGAGTGAACCCGAATTTGACCTAAAAATTATTCTTAATATCATTGTGACTATCCCCAGTTCAATTTGTCGTACTAAAGAACAAATAACTATATATATATATATATATATATATATATATATATATATATATATATATATATATATATATATATATATATATATATATATTGACTATAGAATCAGAGTCCTTCCCGTTATACTAAAGATTTGTCTTAATAGTCACGCTTAGCAGGCGTTTAGTACTTACTAGACATCTCGAACCTCTGACGTTGCTGCCCATTGTTATTCTTGGTATATTCCGCTTGAAGCAAAGGAAATAGTTATAACGCTATTTATCGGAAGCAATAACAATTTTGGCATGACATACAAAAAACGTCATGGCAGCGTAAGACAATGAATCACTACAATTTTCGGTATTCAATGCAAATTCTGCTCGTTTGCTCTTGTTCCTGGGCGACTATTACGTCATCGTCTGAGTCAACCGCAAGGAGACCTACGGTGGTATCTACATGTGCGGTTTGCTCTTCAATTCGTATAGCCGCATCTCCTGTCGTGGTATTTTCATTCGATGAGGGAACAGCCTCACGTCGTAGCTGTTCGAGTTCGACATCATCAAATATTTTTGGGCGCATGATGTACCGAACTCGATCTTCCCGGTTTTGCTCGGTGACGGTAATAGATGACTCCAGCACAGCAAGAAAGCGATGCATCCTAGCCTAGGGTACGCAAAACCCCTAACTTCTCCCCCTTTCGTCGTCACTTTTATAAAATACGACCGCAATGCGATTGAATTCATTTTCTTCGTGCATCGCATTTGGCGTACTCCACCAGAGGCGGGTGCCATTTGCTGAGGAGGTCCCTGCCGACACCAAGCCATCTGGTGGGGATGATGTACGCGAGGGGCTACTATGTGCTCGTGCAGCCTCTTGCGGTCGGTTAGCAGCCCGAATGCTGTTGCGTCCAGTAGTACTAGCTCCAGACGCATTCAGACTACCTCCAAACAACGACCCCACGCACGTTCCTCTTTGTGCCATCGTCCATTTTATAGGTGCCAATTAAACGGAGATACCCAGGCCCGGAACCGTTTCGTGGTTCGGCTGTATGCGCAAACGAACCTTTGTACCCTCAATTTTGCCTAGGCACGGGGCTGACACCTCTTGGCAGGGCGCTGACTGAATGCGCCGACGTATCAGTTTTGTCACATACGGGTATATTATATTTTGTCTAGTAACTGTTAATTTAGCGGGTGATGGAATTGTCATTTCCCTTCATAATTTTTAGGTATAGGGAAATGTCGACCCCACTTTCTTACGCCTAAGTATTGTTATTATTACTTGCTCGGAAATAGGAAAATTTAATCCCTTCGTCTCCTTTTCATCATTGGAAAACCAGGCGATCGGTGGATCCTCGACCCTTTGCTGTCCATATTGCACGACTAAACGGATTGTTTTTTGTCTTACGTTATACGTACTACAAAGGAATGAAACAATTTGCCAGCGTTAGTTTTATTATCCAAATACAATCTGGGCGTCATCAAGGAAACAGTTAATAGGCTTTTCCTACTCTTACTTTCATATCTTTCTAAGACAGCGCGATTACCATTTATAGCCTCATTACTACTTACCACCAGGTAGGATTGTAGTCAAAAACTGGCCCATAATAAGAAAGATAAGTGTGTGACCGGCCTACATTTTTGCTTAGCGGTATTAAAAAAATGTAAGCAAAATTAATTTACTTTAAATATTAATCTCAGATTATTTTTAATACAGCGTTCGATTAAGCTACTTTGAATGTACTACTTTAATTTTATTTGCTAATAGAAAACGCCACTGAGTTAAGGTTCACTCATTTTACAATCGAGGCCCTTAATTTGCATCCTCCCTCATGAACCCTCTTAAGCTAAAGTCAAAGTGTATAAAATAAATAAACAGGGTATTTCGCATACTTAAATATAATCTCTATTCCATTATCTAATTCCATAGTTAATTTGGGTTTGCACATATATCACTGTATAAACTAAGTTGTACAGATCTTGGAAATTAGTCGAAAAGTTGTTGCCACTCTACGTTCCCTATATCGTTTTTAAAACTTCTTACCCTTCATTATAGACATATACGGGTATATATCCATATATACCCGATTATATACTATACAGTTGTGTGCTTTTCAGACCTCTCGCTAAATCTCCTTAACAAGTTGGGGTGCCTTCTCAACAACTGTATAAGATTTATCTTCAACTCAAGAAAATGCGACCAGATCACTGCTTTTCGTTCCAAGCTTTCTATTCATTAGAGGCGTTGCTCCAGAATCTAACTAATAATTTTTTATATTAAGTAGTCCAACATCTCCTTTTTAACTTAAAGATTACTTCCACTTTCGGTATTCAACTCTTGACTTTTGAGAAAAGCAATGAACAAGTATACGTTTAAAAACTGATCCGACAGCACTATCTTGTGGAAAACCCTCATGGTTGACTGAAAAAGAATGCAATAAGGCAATAACTCAGCCCATTATAACCCTCAGATTAAGTTGTATCGCAATAAACATTAAATTAATAAAATTAATAAAAATAATGTTTTTTTTATCAATCTTATAACAAAACCCTTATAGCGATTAGCTAGCTCCTTTGAATCTGCGCCAAATTTAAATTGATTCCGCGAACAACTGATGCCAGCACTTTACAATTTCCTCCAGACCTTTTAAAAAAACTTACATTTCTCAGATGAAATTATAATCCAACACTCACATTGCGTGAATGTTGATATGAAATGGATATATTTAAATCCACTTCTCTTGTACTTTTTATTATAATAAACGTTACCCCCAGAGTAGAATTATCTCATGTTTCGTGAAGTCAATTTATATACTGCAAAAAGACAAATAGGTACCCGGAAAAGAACATTGTAGGCCAAAAAGCTACGTACTGGCTTCAAACTCGCGGACCTTCAGCGCCACGAGCAAACGCTTAACCACTGTGCTAAGACGCCGTAACTAACTACAATAAAAGTCATTCGATTCAGAAATCGAAATGGCACTAAGCGCTTTTACATTACTGAGTGTCATTTATAATTTAGATTTGTTATTAACTGCTCCTACGACACAGGAGAAAATTCTAGTGTGGAGTTATCATTTCTTAAAAAAGAAAATACTTCTGGTCATCTATTTAAATATTTGCATTGTAGTATTATGACATGAGTAAAAAAACCGTACCGTACAGGGACAAAGACACTACTATAAGTTTGAGGCGCGTGAGTGCGTTAGCACTGGCGGCTTGTCTCATACAGAGAAAAACTGCTTTAAACCGATTCGGCCAGTGCTCACTCTGAGGGTGATGTAAAAATTAATAAGTGTAAAACTTTGTTTTTTTAAAGAATAATTTACCTACGTTTACTAACATACCTACGTAGATTTACATCTTATCGAGGTTGCTGCAAGAGATACAGATGATTTTGTAAATAAAATTGATAACTTGTTTGATTTATTAAACTTGAACACTGCAATCTCCTAATAAATACAAGGGAGCTTTTCGAGGCGATAGTTATCAATTAACGTTTTAAAAAGAAATATGATGAAATGAATAAAAAAAAATGGTAAAATTTTTCAGGAACTTAAAATTAACGAAGTGATAGGTTCTTACAAGGCCGGCAACGCATCTGCCATCCCCCTGGTGTTGCAATTGTTCATGGGCGGCGGTAGTCACTTACCATCAGATGAGCCACATGCTCATTTTTGCATGCATTATTGTAAAAAAACTGACATATAAGTGACAACCGGAAAACTACAACATAATTCTTTAAAATATTTTAACTTTGTTTAGTTCTTAAATGTGGGTTTTTTATCACTCTAAGTAGTTTTTATCTATCAATGAGGAATCCATGGAAAAGACTGATTTTCAACAGTAGATTTTTGATAGATTTTATTGATAAAGATGATTATTACGATTATATACTTGCATACCGTTAGCTTATCTTATCTGTTTCTATTTTTAAAAACTTTCTTTAGTCATTTATTTAAAGTCATTCATTTACGTTTCAAATATTTTAGGAATAATACAATATAAATACGTATAATTAATAAAATCAGGCATTACTTTGCGTAAATCCATTATAATAAAGATATTAATAGTAACTTTGCAACCATCCGCTCAATTAAATAAAATGATGTGTCTTACCTAGTTTGAAGGGCATCTCCCGCCCTCCCTCAATTGCGTGCACTAATCCCGTCACCACTAATCCCAGCACCACTACTCCCAACATCACTACTCCCAACATCACTACTCCCAACACCACTACTCCCAACACCACTACTCTAGGAAAGATACACCATCGACGATAATACGACACGTGTTTCGCCTCTGAACGAGGCATCTTCAGGTGATGTAGACTCTACGGTGGCTGACCGCTAAGTCAAACTTACTTTAAGTTTTAAGAATATTCGGCCTTATGATTCCATCGTATTTGCAGCTCATTAATTTTCTCAAACGTTATGTTTTGGTTTTACTATCACGTAAACTATGCGCATAACAGTAAACCGCCAGCTCGTAAAGGTAACTTATTCATGATATCTGATACAAATTTACTGCTTTGGAAGTTCGGAAATATTCTAAGTTGATTAAAAAGTTATTTTGCTGTTTGTACAAAGATATCAGTTTACCAAAAAAATATTTATGTGATAAAGCCAAGCTGCAGCTGCGTATTAAAATACAGAATACCAGCATTAAAAATCAGAATAATGCTGGCTTAGTATAGAGAACCGGAGACCCTTTTTTGGTAACAAGTGCTTTGTCTATAGTCCTCAGGGGTTACAACGCATCTGCGTTTTTTTATAGGATAGGGTGACAAACGAGCACACAGTCCACCTGATGGTGAGTAGTTGCTGCGGCCCATAGACATCTACATCTATCCTCGATTACGAATCAAAATGCAGATGCAAGGTCACCCGTGAGGACTAAGATGGAAAGCCTCTTAAAAAGTGTCTCCGGGTCTCCGGTCTCTACACTCACCATACGAAACTCACACACTCACAATGCGAATGAAAACTCATCTAAAAAAATGGCTCATCCAGAAATCTTTTTACTCAATTAAAGACTTCTTTGCAGATAAGTAGACGATACATTTTAGAATTTGACACAATGTTTAAATTATGTCATTCTTATAAATTAAAAATTTTATTTATTTAATTAATAAATTTGATATAAATTTTGAAATAAATTAATGACAATTCGATATGTAACATTTATAATTGACTCTATATTTACTGACATAAGAACAATAATATTTGACATTGAGCTATAATAATACTTATACATCTTATTGGCAATTTATTTTTCTGACACTGTTGCATAATTAATTAATCATCAAATCAACTGAGTAACGTAAAAAAAAATTGTGTTGTTAAAAAATCGATAAGTATTGTTGTTTAAGTTACGGGTACTTGACTTAATTGACTAATATTTGCACACCACTGAGATAGAATATGTAGAACAAATTATACTCGAACACCATTGTACAACCATATTCTTGCAAATAAAGATTATTATTATTATTATTATTATTATTATAACACAGCAACAATAAGCTACTATTTCACGCTGGTATTCTTTGAGATCGTGGTCCTTTCCCGGTCGAGCCGACCCATTCGTGCTACAACTATTCGATTTACAACATTCGTGCTACAATTATTCGATTCTATTCGTGTTACTACTAACATA